GAGCCAGAAACCCTGGGGTCTCTGGGCCACAGCCAAAGATTGAGCTCATAGAAGGCTTTTTTCTTGGGTGCATGAGGGCACAATACCCCAGTCACAGCTGTCTGCCTCTGGAGTGGTTTTGTGGAGTGAGCCTCTCTGCCAGTCAGCTCTGGTTTCACTGAAAGGGATGGGTAGTCTGTGGTCAGATTCATCATTCAAGGACCTTGTTACAGTCACTGCTTACAACCTGCTACTCCCACACAAAACTTCCCCATGACTCATATGGTCCTGAAGGGGCTAGGCCTCCATGGCTTCCTCACCCTATTTACTGCTTCCAATTAATAGACCATGGACCCCTGCAGTCAGACTGTCATCCTTCTGCACATTAGACTGATTAGCTTCCTACTCTTCAAGATCCAGGGGCCATTCACATGGGTTCTTACATGGAAGCAGGGAGGATGAGAATACTTGAAAGGTCCCTGCCACTCCAAGTCCTTCCCACTGATACTTGAAAGTTGACCCTTTGAGTTTTAGCTGCCTCTTCTAGGAGAGGTGACACCAGGACAGCAACTAGCAATTTTTGGACCTGGCATGGCACAAACCATGCCCCAGCATATGCCCTCAAGCTCTCTAAGTCTGAACACTGTAAGGCTTTGACTGGGGAAGCTGCCACAGGCTGTAAAAAGTCCAAAGAAGAGGAACTCATGGAAGGTGTAGACACCAGATGGCAGAGGAGAAAGGGGCTGCCAGGGTAGAGAGAGGTAGAATGTGGAAACTTCCTATTTTATGTATTTATTTTATTTACATAGATTTTGATTGATATCTTGTTTTTACATCACCTGCATTTCCCCTGTATTCCTTCCAACCCCCTCCCACAGAACCAATCCTTACAATAGAGAAGAGGAAAAATTGGCAAAACCAATGAAAAAGCATGATGTTAAATACAACATTCAATACTCAAGGACTCCCTACTTCTGCCAAAGAGAAAAGGGAGGTGTCTCTTCATATCCCTTTTTTGAGACCAAGTTTGTTCATTATAATTTTACATTATGAAGTTTCTAATATTTTGTTATTATTGCTCTTTCCATTTACATTGTTGTAGTCACTGTGTATATTGTTTTCCTGCCTCTAATTACTTTGCATTGGTTTATATAAGACTTTAAACATGGCTTCTTATTTTCACTAATTCTTCTCACTAACTCGATAAACTCTGTTGATACTTTGCTAAAAGAAGTCTAGTATATCATAAGCAAATCAGGAGAGGAAGGAATAGTTTACCTTTCAGATCTATGGAGAAGGGAAGAATTTGTGACCAAACAAGAGATAGACAACATTATGAAATGCAAAATGGATAGTTTTGATCACATTAAATTAAAAATGCACAAACAAAACAAATGGAACTAAGATTAGAAGGAAAACAAGAAGATAGGGAACAATTTTTACAGCAAGTGTTTCTGATAAAGACCTCATTTCTCAAATATGTAGAGAATTGAGTCAAATTTATAAGAATACAAGTCATTACCCAATTGATAAATGGTCAAATGATATGAACAGGCAGTTTTCAAATGTAGACATTAAAGCTATCTATAGTCATATGAAAAAATGTTCTAAATCACTATTAATTAGAGCAATGCAAATTGAAACAACTCTGAGGTACCACACCACACCTATCAGATGGGCTAATGTGACAGAAAAGGAAAATGATAAATGCTGGAAAAGATGTGGGAAGATTGGGACTAATGCATTGTTGGTGGAGTTGTGAACTGATTCAACCATTCTGTAGAGCAATTTGGAACTATGCCCGAAGAGCAACCAAACTGTGCATACCTTTTGATTCAGTAGTGCCACTACTATGTCTATATTGCAAAGATCATAAAAAAGTGAATATGTACAAAATATGTTCAAATATGTACAAAACTATTTATAGCAGCTTTTTTGTGGTGGTAAAGAATTGGAAACTGAGAGAATGCCCATCAATTGGGGAATGGCTAGACAAGTTGTGGTACATGAATGTAATGGAATACTATTGTGCTATAAGAAATGATGAGCAGGTAGATTTCAGAAAAACCTGGAAAAACTTGTATGAACTGATACAAAATGAAGTGAGCAGAACCAGGAGAATGTTGCACATAGTAACAGCAAGATTGTGCGATGATCAACTGTGATTGATTTAGCTCTTCTCAGCAATCCAATGATCCAAGACAATTCCAAAAGACTCATGACAGAATATGCTATCCACATCCAGAGAAAGAACTGTGGAGTCTTAATGCAGATTGAAGCATATTATTTTCACTTTTTTTGGTATGTGTGTGTGTGTGTGTGTGTGTGTTTTCCCTTTTGTTCTGTTTCTTCTTTCACAATGTCATCAACGTGGAAGTATGTTTACATGATTGTGCATGTGTAACCTATATTAGATTGCTTGCCGTCTTGGGGAAGGGGGTGGGAGGGAGAGAGAAAAATTTGGAACTCAAAATCTTATAAAAAATGAATGTTGAAAACTCTTTACATGTAATTGGGAAAAAATAAAAATTAAAAAAAAATGTTTAACAATCTCCTCAGGAAAAAAAATATGTACCCATGACATACTTTCATCTGCATCATTAAAAAAATAAAAAGACTCAGTACACTGAGTATCCTCTAAATTCAACACTCTAAGGACAAGTTCCGATTGCCTGACGATAGCTGAAGTTCTGGGTGACACCATTGCTAAGTCCCTAGCACTTGAGTGTGATTGAATTCATCAGCCCTTCTTCCCAATTGCAGACCTGAAGGTATAGGTAGAGTAGAAAACAAACTTTGCTAACTTCACCCCCTTGCCAAGGCCCACCCTGATCCTGATTCTACATATTTGGTTCCCCCAAGTTCCAAAAGCCCTTCCCTACCTGTTCACAGAGAGGGTCAACTGGTCCAGACATGCTTTGATCTTGTTCTGGGCTTCCAGATGAGTCATGCTATCTGCATTCTCCCCATTAATGGCCTGGATCACGTCTCCTGGGCATAGGTTGGCCAAGGCTGCTTTACTGCCCGGGTTTATCTGCAGGAGAAGGAAGATGGGTTACTCACTTCATGGAGCTGAAACATCATAACCCCCAAACTCAGATCCCATTTTCGGGAAGCTGAATGTGGCAGCTCCTTATTTTATATGATGGTAAATTCTTTTTGTTTGGATATTTTCCTTACTGCCCCGCCCCCTCCCCCCCCCGGAAAGTTGTTATCATAGAGAAAGTCCTTAGAGTGGTCCTGTACTTATTTTGCAGATAAGGAAACTAAGGTGCAGAAGGGAAGAGGCTTGCCCAAGATCACTTAGCTAGTGAGTGGCATCTAATGACTCTTAAGTCAAGCACTCCTTCCAGTGCTCCCAGGCATGTGTTTTCCAAACTAAGAACATCCACAGAAATACTCAGCTGAGATCCTTTGATCAGCCCTTCCCTTGTATAAACTGTTGGCCTCAGGCAGGGGTCTGTCTGGTCAGCCTGGGGAAAAAGGCAGACAGGGGCAGGAGGGGACAGAGATGGTCTCCAGATCCCTAAAGATCAGCCCTTCCCATAAAGCAGTAACTGTCTTCTCGGTTTGCAGAAGCAGCTGGTGGTCTAGCTGGAGACACTGTTTATTATTCCTCTATGGATTCCTCACCCAGTTTATTGCTTCCAAACAACAGAGAGTACCTCTATTGCCTTTGATGGTGTTCCCCACACATGGCGATGATGCACAGATAGAATCTTCCTAGACCTTAATGGTTTCTCTGACAAACAGCTCACAAAGAAGTGAGAAAGTCATGATTAATTTAGTAAGGGTACAGATATACCCTTAAGGAAACGGATAGTGAAAACAAAAAGATCAGACCCCACAAAGAATTGGGAGAATAGCAACACCAGTAAACAGTATAGCTCCATCAACTCTAGGAAGGCAGGGAAAAAATAAGCATTAATATAGCACCACTATGTCCTAAGCACTTTTTACAAATATCTCAATTGATTTTAACAACAACCTAGTGAGGTAGGTAGGACAGCTAGGTAGTGCAGCGGATAAAGTGCCAGACCTGGAGTCAGAAAGACCTGAGTTCAAATCTAGCCTCAGACTGACTCCTGAACAGGTGCTCTTTCCATTATGCCACCAGCTGCCTCTAAAGTAGGGACAAAGATTGGTTTCCATTAATGTCTTGGGAACTTCCAAGATGGACCCCAGAAGAGCTCAGATGTAACAGGGCATTTCTAATGCCTACAGCCAAAGGCAGCAGGGACAAAGTTCTGGTTAGAAAGCTGTCTGCTCAGGGGCAGCTAGGTGAAGCAGTGTATAGAATGTTGGCCCTGGAGTCAGGAAAATTCATCTTCCTGTGTTAAAATCAGGCTTCAGACACTTACTACCTAGTGACCCTGGGCAAGTCACTTAACCCCGATTGCCTCCAAAAGAAAAAAGAAAAAAAAGAAAGCTGTTTGATCACATCTTTCCTTCACTGTCTCCATATTTCTCAGGACCTTTACTATTAAAAATGAAAGCGTAACATTTTAGGCACGGATCTTGAGCTAAAAGGTCACTCAGAGGCTATCTGATCCAATCCCTTAATTTTACACATGAGGAAGCTGAGGCCTAGAGAAATAAGGTAACTTGCCAAAGGTCAAAGGAGTTAAGAATCAAAGGAGGGATTTGAACCCAGGCTCTCTTTCTGGAACTGGCACTCTGTCCATGATACCACAGTCTCCCAGTCCTTTGGTTCAAAAATACAGCTGTATCTCTCTATTCCTTTGTTTTGATCCTTGCTTTCTTTCTCTCACAACAGGCCTGTGAGGTAGGCATTTATTTGACAAGTCATAAAATTATGTCTGTCTCTCTGCCACAGCAGCTGAGCCAGATGGTTTAGAGGATAATTGCTTGATCTGGGTTAAATCATGACTCCAAGAGGAAAAAAAGTTGAGGCCCCTTAATCTTAAAGCTTAAGGAGCCCATTTGAGCACAGGGTTAGTTATTGATGAACGAGCCCAGGCTGGCTAGCATGCAAATTGGAAGAGACAACTGTTTCTTTAGCCCTTGTCTTACAATTGTCCTAGGAGAGTAAGAGAATGAATAGTTCACTGAAGCCTGTTCCATTACTGCAGACAGCTCAGGAGCCAGGCCTGGTAGGGCCTACTGACAGTCTCAGCCATCTCAGTAGGATGAGGAGGAGGCTTTTGTCCTCCTTGCCTTCCCTCAGCTCGGAAGACTTCCTTGCAAAACCACTCACTGACATCCTAGGGGTGAGGAGCATATGTGACTTAAAAGCTGGAGCCCAAGTCTATTCTCTATGACCAGAGTCCGAGCTCACAGAAGTCACACACTGAGAATGCAGTCTTCTGGGAGAATGAAGATGGTCTTGGTCTAAAAAGCACAGCCTCACTGGGACCTGGCCCTTGTTTTCAGTGACTGAATGCTGGCACAGGAAAGCCCAACAAGCTCTCCTTCCTTGGGGAGGTTTTAAGGGGTGATATGGGAGGGTTTGTCTGAGGCTACAACCGCTGGTCTGATGTCAGCAGATGATGGCTTCAGGAAGTGGGGTTGTCACTAGATTGCTGCACACCAATAGTATGTGAATCAAGCCCCTTCTTGTCACCCATGTCCCCCACGTTTGTGCATGTACACATGTAAATACATATACTCAAGTACACACTGGGTCCAGGTACATTTGGTTGGAGGTGAATTGTGGGATGAAATTCAATGAAGGTTCCCGCCACACCAACCCAATCATTTGACTCTGATCCTGAGGTCACTTATGACAGTGTGACATGCTTGTTCAAAAGGCGAACACAATCTTACTTAGATCCCTTTGTGCTTTATCCTAGTCAGACCCCAACTAAAGTAGTTGTTAATTTCTCACATGAGGGATGAAGTACAGGAGATTGACAAACCATAGGGCAACCAGAATGATAAAGAGACTGAAATAGCTATGCTATTATCACTCAGTTAATCATCAAGCATTTACTTAGTACCTATAAAGGCTAGGCTCTGCAAAAACAAAATTGTCCCTGCCCTCAAGGAGCTTCCATTCGAGAAGGTGACATGTACAAATACAAGTAAGTATATGCAATATAAAGTGGGGAGAGCACTAGCAACTGGGGATGGTCAGGAAAGATTTCACATAGAAGATTGACCTTCATTCTGAAGGATACTAGGGATTCTAAGAATCTCTTCAAGGAACTAGGAAGATGATAACAGCTGGCATTTATATAGCACTTTAAAGTTTGCAATGTTTTTTTACATACAATGTATTTACATACATCGGAGCACTACAAGTGTCTATAATTTCCATTTTATAGATGAGAAAACTGAGGTTTAGAAAGGCTAGATGATTTCTTTATGGTCACACAGCTAGGAGCAGAGGCAAGATTTGAACCCAGGTCTTCCTTATTGTCTTCTTGTCTACTTATTTCCAGGCTATCTCTTTGGAGAATAGACTAGTGGAGGGAGCGGTTAATATGTGCCTTAGGTATTTGAAGGGCTGTCATATATAAGAGAAATAAAATTTTGCTTGAACCCAGAGGGCTGAAGTAGGAGTAATGGGGAAGAGAGAGAGACACACACACACACATACACACACAGAGACAGAGAGAGACAGAGAGAGATAGAGAGAGAGACAGAGAGAGAGAGAGAGAAAGTGAGAGAGAGAGAGAGAGACAGAGACAGAGACAGAGACACAGACAGGTACAGAGAGAGATTTAGACTTGATGTTAGGAAAATCTTTGGAATAATTAAGGTTTCTAAAAATAGAATGGGCTTTCTCAATAGATAGTGAGCGGCACACCACTGCAGATCTTCTAACAGTGGCTGGATGACTACTTCCCAGGTATGCTGAAGAGGGAATTTCTGCTGAGGTAGATTTTCTATTCCTTCTAACCCTGAGATTCTGGGAAGTTCTATTCTGAGCCAGGAGAAAGCCCCTTTCTAAAGGATGGTTAGCTCATAGCAGGAATAGATCTCTTTAGAGAGAATTTTTTTTTCTTTCCCTCCTTGAGTTAGTGAGTGATGTTTCCTCCAACACACTCTCCTCCCACCCACATCCCCGCCCCTCTCCAGAGCAAAGAGGGAAAGTTCCTCCACGGGCACATTTGTCCCTTTGTAGCTCCAAAATGTTAATGACTTGATAATTGTGCAGAAAGGGCAAAGAGAAAAGAGCTCATCCAGTTCCCCAAAACTGTGCACAGAGAAATGTGTTAAACAGATATCTAGGCTGAGATGTGAATATGGCTTCTGGAATTTTTCTGGAGAGCATTTTGTTTAGGGAGCTCAGCAAAAAATGAACAGAGCTCACAACAAAGGACCCAGCACAGTACAGAGAGTTCACTATCATGTCACTTTGGGGCTTTCAAGAGTGCTGGGCATGGAAGCAGAAGAGATCTCAGCTTGCATCTCACCTCTGACACTTGACAGCATCTTATCCACTCCCATGACTTTGAGGGGCAAATAGTCATAAAGTGAAAGAACCCAGGTTTGATGGTTCTCTGGTTACAGAGGAACACAGGAACATCCACTGAGCTCAGAATCAGCAATAAGCGCGCTGTTTGGCTGTAGTCTAGCACCATGCCTGATACATGTTGTTGTTCAGTCATTTTTCAGTTGTGTCCAACTCTTTTTGCCTCTGTTTGGGGTTTTCTTGGCAAAGATACTGGAGCGGTTTTTCATTTCCTTCTCCAACTCATTTTACAGAAGAGGAAACTAAAGCAAAGATCATTAAGTGACTTGCCCAGGGTCACACAGATAGTAAGTGTCTGAGGCTGGATTTGATCTCAGAAAGATGAGTTTTCCTGATTCCAAGCCCAGCGTTCTATCCATTGCCATAGGAAGAGATTAGCTGCACATAGGAACAGATTAATAAATGCTTGTTGACCAACTCATCCTTTTGCATCAGTAGGCTCTCAGCAAAATCATCAACTAAATTAGTTCAAGTAGTACTTCCTCAGTTTACTTCTTCCTCAAGCAGGCTGCTCAGTCCTGGTCAATGACCATGCCTGGGCTGGCTTATACAGTGTCCAGATGTTGGCCCCTCTAATATTTCCTCACCTCAAG